TCTGGCCGCAGCGGGTGGATGGGAATTTTATTTTTTATTGGTGGTGAGTAGGATCAGATTCCCTTTCAGATTCTTTTGAGTTTAATTTTCACGCATTCACTACAGGATTCGGAAGTTTGATTGGTGAATGCATTCGTGATAATTCTTGTTTTAACTTCTAATTGGTTATTTAGGAACACCCATATCCGGTATTCTGCTCTCATCGAATTATACTTGGTGGAAGCCCGCCCTGTTCTCTGGGGTGAGTTGGCTGTCGTTTCTGTTTTTCCATGCATTGACCCGATTACCTGGATCACAGGTCGCTGCACTGGTTGGTGCCGTGATGTATGGCTTCACGGGTTTCATTTGCACCAGGAAAAATAAGTTCTAAGTGAGCGACTCATCGTCGAACGAGTCAATGGACGTTGATATAGGATAGATTCTAAAAGTCATTGTGCAGCTTTTTGTGTCATTAGAATTTTTAGATTTTGCATTGGGTGTAATTTTATTTATACTAAGCTAATGGGTCGCGTGATTACCAGCGTCGTTGCGAACGACGTGACAATTTTGGTTTGAGTATGACTCAAATACTTCCACGTTGAGTGGGCGTGACCTGCGCTGGTCGTTGGCAGCCGTGACCAGTGTGTTTCATTCACCCATGTTTTGGGCTCCGGTTGCTCCTATAGTGGAGTAGGGCTTACTTAGCAGGCGACTTAGGTTTAGCTGAGGATTGCCCTCTTTCTAACCTTTCCCGTCGCTTCGCTAGGTAAGCTAGTCGTACAGATTGCTCTAACAGCCCTCTTTCTAACCTTTTACGTCGCTTCGCTAGCTGGTTTTTGAACACCTACCACTCCCACCTCATCGCTTAGTTTCGCTGTCAATCCTTCGTCTTTTCGATTAGTATTTGAGGCTCTCATACTTATTCACGGCAACTGTTGTTTGTCTGCAATACTAGCTGGCTCCTCGGCACGGGAGGAGCCGTTTTGACTATACCGGTGTTCGAACGCCTTTGCGAGGACTACTTAGCTTCGGTCAGCTATATCACCGCCACTAATTTACAAAGCATCACGTGTGGGAACAATAGCAATCGAGCTGGTGAATGTGCGTGCTTGATGGGGGACACTTGACCCGTCGAAATAATAGGCAGGCTACACTACTGTCCTGATAATGCAGACAGACAGATGCCATGCCGCCTTGATTATCTTATTTATGAGCATCTGATGACGAGTACCTTCCAAGATCGTTTGATATTGGCATGCATGGTAAAAATTGGATTGGTTATGAAGCGCAGCTTACCACCCTGCTAGTCATCGATATAGACTGTTGAGTGTTCTTCAAGCTTAGTACAAAATCATAAAAATGCTCATATAATACGACCTGGAGTATGAGGAATAACTATCTCCACAAAGTCCCTGAGGAAGTATTCATTGCAACGCGTCCGCAACCATCGCGAGTAGCTCCTTGGTGCTCTTCCCAACATTCTTGTCATCCTTCGCTATGACTTGCCACACAGGCCCGTGATGTGGTTCAGCAGCAATGCACTGTCTAATAACCTCCTCCACATATTCCTGTAGAACTCAATTAGTAAGTATCTCATGTGTATGACGATCGACGCACGGGTGTGCCGTGCTGGCGCTCGAACTTGAGCCACCATCCCCAATGGTCCCCGATATCCTTATCCTGCTCTGTAGCTATGCTTCTCGAGAACCACTGCCTCGCTTTCTCGATCTTCCTTTCCGCCCAGAATAAACGCGCAACTGTACATGTGATCAGCGGATTATCCTTGCTTTTCTTCAGTGCATCAACAGAGCGGCTTTTTCTCGTTGGTCGTGGTTCAGCCCATATAGACATTGACCATAGGAGACCGGACGACGGGCATTCCTGTAAACCACGGGCGAGCATCGCTTTCGCCTGTGCAGCCCCACCAGATCGCTCTTCCACACCAACAGACTCTGCCCACAAGATTTCGTTTGCCGGATTGACGAGCCGTCCCTTTTCTAGCAATGCGCGAGCTTTGATGCTCTTTCCATCAAGCTCCTCCAGCTTGCTCGCAAGTACCCATAACGTAATCTCCTTCGGGCAAGCCTTGAGGCCTGCGGCGTATGAAGCACGTGCAGCGGAGTATTGCTTTTCCATTTGACGAATTTGCCCTTGGATCATGTACAGTTTGGCAAACTTAGGGAATTTAGATAGGGCGGTGGAGACAGTTTCAAGCGCTGCAGCATACTGCCCTTGCTGGCGTTCAAATACAGCAGACTTCATCCAGATCTGACAAGTTATGGTCAGACCGTTTGTGGATCGGGTATAAAGATGAGACACTTACTCGCTCAGTATCTGCAACTGTCCGTGCACGTACTAGTAGCTCCCTTGCGACACCCAGCTCACCATTTTCGGCTTCGAGTTTGACTGCGGCAAGCCAGATTTGTTCGCTTTCGGGATTAGCGATAAAAGCTTTTTCGAGAACCTCACGTGCCGCTGGCACGTCTCCAGCCAGCCACTTCTCTTTGGCTGACATGAGCCAGAGAACTTCTGCCTGCGGACAATAGTGCACTGCCTGAGAGAGCACTCCATCGAGCGATTCCCTAAAAAAAAGTTCAGTACATGACACACATCCTGCAAAATATTATCATACTTGGTGCCATGCGCCTTCTCCAAATCTGCAGCCTTTCTCCAGAGGTTCCGCTGATCTGGAAAAACTTTGAGCGCATACGCAAGTACGGCCCTCGCAGTCCCGACCATGCCCCTCGCCTCCGCACTCTCTGCATCGCTAACCCATGTATCCAACCTGTCCTCCTCCTCGACCTCCATACTCACTGTAGCCTTAATGATTGCCTCGCACGTCCGTGGGCTGCCGTCGCTCTCACACCGCTCTGCCTCCTTCAGCCACTGCTCGCGCGTGAGTAGCACCTGGTGCTGCCGGAGTTGCCGGACACCAAGCTCGATGGTCTTGTCCACCAGCTCTAGTTCTTTGTTTTTGGTTTCCGTGGACTTATCGGGGTCGCCTACGGCCTCTTGCTCGAGTAGGCGTCCAGCGGCAATCCAGATCTCGTGCGATGTAGGAACTGACTTGCGGGCCTTGTTGAGGACAGCTTTGGCGCGCTCAGGGGTTTCGAGACGGGCTAAGGCAAGCCAGAGCTCGACGGAAAGTGGGATCACCTCCACGGCGCGGGAGAGGAGTATGCGGGCGTCCGTAGCTGATTCTTCGAGATTAACCGTTTCTTTCCATAATCGAACGGAATTGGGAATACTCTCGAGTGCTGTTTGTAGTGTAAGTGGATTGCGGTGGATTAGATGGGAATTGTATACCTTTACGCAAGACCCGTTTCTTTGATTTACCATCATGTTCGAGGTCTGCTGCTGCAAGCCAGATTTTAACGCTCTGACCAACATGTTGAACAGCATTTGCAAGAATGACTTTTGCATCGTCGTTATTCTAGAAGGGAAGATCAGTGACAATATAAAGGGTACCATGGTTCACGTACGTGTAACCGTGCTGCCTCAAGCCATACGTCATCGCTCTTGGGACACTGTTCGCAACCTGCTTTTATGAGTTTCCTTGCAGCAACCATACGACCAGCGTGTTCCTCCAGACATGCAGCTGCAATCCAACCAGGGGCGTGTTTAGGATTTGACTTGACAAGCGAGTCAAACAACATGCGGGCACGCTTGATGTCGCCAATTTCGGCTTCAGTCTTGAGGACAACGCTATTGAGTGATGTGAGATAGCCCTTCGGATCAACAGAAGTAGCAGAACCAGAAGTAGTGGCTGTCCCAGAAATCTAAGATGCAATGAGTATGACGCAATGAGTGCTATGATAAGCAGACAACATACTTGATCGAGCTTTAAGGACAAGATTTTATCACGAGCTTGGCCAATTTCGACGAAATTGGTCATGGTGCCTGCCTCCGCAGGAGTCTCAAAGCCATTAGCTTGCTGTTGCCGAGTGTCCAAGGAATTCTCATATTCAGACTTGGACCGGTCACCGACAATGATGCTGTCAGGAACGGCAAAAGTCCTTTCGTCTTTTCGCCGCTTCTTCCTTGTAAGATTACCCACTTCTGGTATGCTCTCCCACTCCTGGTCGGTTACGACGGACAAACCACGCTTCAGGTCAGCGAATTGTTGTTGAATCTTGGGGCGCTCAGCTCGGTGCTTCGCAAGCTCAGCATTCTCTCTCGCCTCCCTGAATAGAAAAACAAAGTGAAGCAGCTGAACACGATAAAATGATATAACTAACCGGAAAGCACACACCTGCGTGCCCGACGCCGTGAGTCCATCTTCTGATCAACATCATCATATATTTTGTCAGCTTCCTCGTCATCCTGTTCATAAGTTGTGCCAGCAAAGAGGCCATATTCATTGTCGGGGTCTTGAAATTGTTCTGGATCGATTTCGGGCTCCTCACCGCGCCTAGCTTGGGCTTCACTGTGCAAAGAATGAATTGAGTTTTCCAAGAAAAATATTCAAACGCACGCAATAACTTCTGCAGACGGACCCTCTCTTGCAGGTCCAATGTCTGAACGAGTCGTGAATCCAGAAGCGCTATCGTATTGTTAGGTCGTAGCATGCATTGATATACGAGAGATACTGACCCTCGACCGAGACCAGCGACATATGATGCCGGAGCTGGCATCGATAAGAATGCAAGCTTATTTTTATTTGACGCCATCGTAGTTAATTACAACAGAGCCGTTGAAGAGAAGGCTGGGGCACGTCGACGTCGTCGATGAAGCAGGAAGTGCGGGATGACTAAGCAGTATGTCATGTGTTTATCGGCGATTCGGTGGGTCATTAATAATTATGCATAATCTACCCTATAGCCCTCCGTTCATGCATGTTGCTGGTCTTTATCAGGAGGAAAGTTGATGAACGGACGGCAGCACATCAATATTTGAAGTCCTTGAGGAATCGCCTTAGCTGTTTCGTTACATCTGGCATTCTCCATTCCAATACGTACAATGAGCCAAGATGAAAAGTACTCAAAGCATAGTTTGCATCAGTAAATAGTACATGGGATAAGAAATAGGGATCGAGTTGTTGAGTACGAGAAACGACGCTCGTCGCTTGCTTTAACAACTATAGTCGTCGATGAACCACTGTCCGTAGACGCCCCAGATCTAATAGTATGTCAGTCGACTGAGATATAAGGATGCAATATGCACATACATTATTCACGCATGAGTCTGCGCCAGAGAATGTACGGTCTAGGAAACGTGTAGGGGTTGTTGCACAAAACTCCTTATAATCTGCTCGGAAAGGCAAGTTCTCGAGACGTTGCTCGATGTGCTGCCAGAATGATCAAATTAAGTCCTAGATAATAGTGCATGCTCTCACCCTCTTCTTCGAGCCTCTAGCGGAACAGCCCTACAAAATCGAATGGTTAGAATGAGTAAAAAACGATATTATCAACTCACCATGTCCCTATATCCACTCCAGTAAGTAACGCAGTCTGGTTCGTCATGGTTAATGGCAAAATAGCCAATCGCCGTGCCTGAGCGCTATACAAAGTCAAAATGTATTATCAGGACTAACGGAAATGTCGACCAACATCTTCGCATCTGGAGGGCCAGTGAGGCCAGCCATGAACAAACACCGGAGTAGCCATGCAGATTTTCATCCTATGACGGTTCCAACGAGACGCGTTGAGCTCTGCCACGTACTCCTTTGTTGCATAAGTGGTGCAGGAATGAGATTCGATATTGGTCCAAGAAAACTCATTGAGGGGCGCAAATGAGAAGAAAGCGATGGCAAACACCCCCAAAATGATCACGGTTCCGAGAATTGTAAAGAAGCAACATCCTGGGCCATTGTTCCGTCGTCTTCCTGTTGGAAGGAGAGGGTCAACCTCATTGTACCTGAAGATGAGTATCAATAGCTGCATCATAATTTTGTGCGCTGCGCATCATGCCTTGAATGAATTCTAGGAATCACAACTATCAGCACTGAAAGGAATAGGTACGGAATGAAAGCTTACACCATCCTAGTAGACTGAGGAATCGTTGGTACTACAATATGCATCGTGGGCTGGCATTGTCCGTGATGCCTATGACAATCATGATCGTGTGTGTCTCCTTGCGAAGTATGATTAGATGTTTGCGGCATTGAAGCATGATGCTGGTACGCCGGAGGAGGGCTACTAAAGTCACTAAAGTTTTCAACGTAACCACGAGGAGCTCAGCGCTCGACATGTGCACAAGAACCTTGTAATCTCACCTAGTGTGATGCGACATCGTATCGATAAGCTATGTAAGAGACGCCAGTACTAGGCTACCTTGCTGGGCGGTGAGAAAATCCCAAAAAGGCAATCAAAGCAAGGTCCGGAGTGCAGCAACATATCCTGGTGTTACTGTTTAAGTACATTGATGCGAAAAGTGCTACCCAACAATTCAGCTGAGCAGTAAATTACATCACCGCATACATTGTGAATCGTAAATATTCAAGGCTTATGGAGAAGCGATAGTCTAGCATAAATTAAGTAAAAGCAGATGAGACTAGCGGAACCATAGAATGCACATAAGAGCTATCTGGGTGTAAATGTAAATTCTAAATCGTGAGAGATCGGTTGTCTAAAATGAGTTGCTGCTAGTGGATCGTGACAACACAAGGAAAGGTGGTAAGGTGAACTGATCTACCGATGACGCACGCCACAGGTTCACAGCAATCCTGGTACAAACCAGAACTTCACTTCCGCCGCATATGCATCCCACTCTGATGCAGATAGTTTGCGGAGCTCACCATCCTCTGCGTATGCACGGCTAACACCTACAGACAACGCCCAAACCCACCACGTAGCCCCTAACAGTGCGGAACTGACAGGCCCGAGGATACCGCATTCGTTCACCCAGCTCCCGGGAGTCAAATGAGAGAAGGCAATCCCCGCAACTAGCAATAAGGAGCCTGTGTACGCTGGGTGCCGGACATATTTGTAAAGCCCAGATGTCACAAGCTTGTGCTCAGGATACATGGTAAGATCGAAGGTGAACAGGTGACCGAGCTCGTGGAAACAGCGCACGCGGATGAACATCCCGAGAACAGCCATCGTGATTCCGAGCAAGAACACGGGAGTGACTAAATGTTGCGTGTGCCGTGCAGGACAGAATACCGAGTCGACGTGGCTTGAAATCTGCGTTGAGAGCAACGATCCACGAAAATAGTGGAATGTTGAAATCACTTCATATGCAGCGCTCAGCCATAGAATTATTGTGTGGGCCTGAATAAGACACAGTTTTTACTCAGATACAAACGCTGCAATATCACTAACTTACCTTGAAGATCAATGGGGCTATTTGCAAAACGGACGCCTCTTCAGTGTGATAGCGCCATTTTGCTGGCGTTTTATTAGGAGGGGTAAATGCGATCTGGTTGCAGAATGCTTGCAGAAGGACAAGGGAAGAGCGCAGAAGAAGAGACATTGAGAGTTCTGCTGGGCAACGAGTGAATGAGCATCAAATGCCTTTTATATTGGAGAAATGGATACTCAGTGCGGCGCGACAAGACGGATCATACATTCACGGGCTACCCGGGAAAGTGTGTCAACCAAAGTTCAAAACTGATTCAAAACTAAGGGTTCATTTCGATGGCTATCAAGCCGAGGACGTGTATTTCCAGTGCTGCAGCGTGTCGCGCTACAAACCTTATCTAGATTGCATGCATTATGGGGAAGCCCATACAGACTTACGAACACTCCATTGGAATCAACTATGCTGAAGAAAGTTTCTGCCTGGCAAATTTTTATCCGCGGAAAGAGGGCATATCTCATTTTGGGTGACAGCGCACAATGGGATGACCCTCGGGTATGGTATGTCCGGTGGAAAATCCGAAGTACCAGCTAACATATAAAACTCCAGTAGCCTGGAGCAGGCCCGGGCGCCAGGTAAAAAAAGCCCCCGGAAGCTCCCACATTATGATCCCTGTTCGGAAAATAGCAGATTTCCGAGCAAAAATTGACCAAATGTCTGTCCGAAAAATAGCGGATTTGAAACCAAGTTGGCTCGAGGTCCGTCCATAGTTAGCAGATCTTTGACGGAGGACCTGCCACCACATGGGTCCTGCCAGACTCTGTCAAACCTTTGAGCGAGCGCAAAATATAGGAATATAATGAATAGATAGCAGTGACAGTCCAGGTTCGTCTGATGCAAGACGACAAGGTCAAGCAAAAAGTGGTTGGGCTGGGTACGAATGCGTTATTGATATAATTGCGGAATTAAATGACAAGTTTATCGATATTGGGTGGGCGAAAACACGAGAATGAGCGAGGATGCCGTGTAGGGAAAGAAACGGTGAAGAGAAGCTGAAAAAACGCTTTCGCTCAGCTTGACTCGGGCGTGGTGCCGGACCCTGAGTCCGACTAGCGGAGCTCAGGCATCAGCATTCATTTTTTGTCACGTAAAATTTGAGGTTTGGTAGCCTTGAAAGTTTTGTTTGGTGTCAAAGGGCTTTGAATTTGATTGAGCGTACCGGCGTAAACCTATTTGACTAGTAGTTGAACGTTGTTGGTTCAGAGCTGCTAAAATTGTGACTGATTGACGATCTGAGTCATCCGGAATTGATCCGATCTGTTCCAGGCTTCCAGCACTACTAATACCACAAGATTATCGATTATCGAGAACACGAGTTGCACCCAACGATATCCTCAATGGCAGACTGGCATCCCTCTTCATGGAAATCGAGGTCAGCCGCTCAGGTGGGAATGTCACATCTAGGCTCACAATCGATGATCAAACGTTTGATGTATATATCAGATGGTGGATTACCCTAACCAACAGCATCTCCAAAGGTCTGTTGTACACGTGTGATTCAATACATATCCGTAACTCACGGCCAAACAGAGTCTTGACAAAAATAAATGCTCTACCCCCTCTCGTAACGCCCGCAGAGGTCGGTGTTCAGTGCTTCTACCTGCTGCTGTTCCTTACCGTAACTGTGTTCTAGATCGAGCGCCTTCGCTTCCAGTTGGCTGCTGTGCAACGGAATGAAGCCTTCTTGCTCCATGCGGGAGATTGCGCAGAAAGTTTCGACGCTTGTACTCAAGTGAGCTATCTATTTCATTATCAATGTGGCGTTCTAAAGTGCTTGGAAGCAAAACATATCAGCAAAGATCGGGTTGATACTTTCGTTTTCTCTCATACTGATTTGGGGTGGACGTCTCCCAGTGGTGCGTTGAAGATGCATGCCATAATCCATCATCAATCTGCTAGTGTGCATATTCTCACAACGGGCTTTCGCAATCCAGGTACGCATTGGACGTATTGCTGGGCAATATGCTAAACCCAGGAGCAGCGGGACAGAAATAATTGACAATAGAGAAGTTTTGAGTTTCCGGTATGCAACGGCCAATTCGGACACGAGTCAGAGATCATCTGACTCCAATTCTTATTGTAGCGGTGACAACGTTAATGGGTACAGTAAAACAATCTATCTTGACTGAGAGCTAAACTTCTAATAGCGTTGATCCTAATGATCGAACCCCGGATCCTGAAAGGCTCCTCAGGTCTGTGCTTGACTACCTCATCATAATTGACATGAACATCCTTCACCCATATTAGTGCCTACTTTCATTCCACTGCTACCCTCAATTACGTTCGTGGGCTTCTCACATCCGGATTTGCTTCATTGCATCACCCGCGGGATTGGTCACTCTCACATGTCCGTTCGCCCGCATTACGGTCAGTATATCCTCTCACATGCACATGGTCCTGCATCCCTGATTTCGGATGTTGTCTCCACCGCAGGAGCGAGTTTGAAAAGATCACTCAAGGTCTTTCTGACGCACTCGACTTCAGCCACACGATAGGCGCTGACTCTGGTAGAGAGAGTGTGCCCTTTGACCGGGGCGGTGGTCGAGGTGTTCTAGGCGAGATTGATTTCTACACGAGGTCAGCTAATGGCATGGAATAGTATGGCAGATCAAGTTAATGGGATCGGGAATTGCAGCCATGAAGGGTTAATGCTCGACTGGGAGCAAGCAATGACACGGGAAGTCGATATCGTCGGGTCAGGGCTGCCGTCTGCGAAGGAAAAGGGCTTCTACAATACTTCCGCCCACTTTTTATGGGTTGGTGACCGTACGCGACAACTTGATGGCGCCCATATCGAATATTTCCGAGGTATCCGCAATCCCATCGGCATCAAGGTCGGGCCTTCATTAGAGAATGCGGAGTTAATCAAGCTCCTACAAAGTACGTATGATTCCGGGAGTACGTTTCACAGAACGTACTTATCGCGTGCCTCTTTCATAGTCGTAAATCCAAACAAAGAGGGTGGTCGCGTGACACTCATCACTAGGTACGGGGCAGGCAAAGTGCGTTGTTCATCCTGACTGTCTTTAACAACCTTTGATCAAGCTGTCAAGATCGGGGACCACCTCGCTGGCCATATTGATGCTGTTAAGCGCGCTCAACACCCGGTCGTATGGGTGTGTGATCCTATGCACGGAAAGTACGTTTACATTCGTGATGGTGTGAAACGTAAACGCGCTGAGCCATTCCAAGCACACTTACTTCCAGCAGTGGCTTCAAAACGCGTAACTTTGGGACCATCATCAGTGAGCTGACTTCCTGCATCAGTATCCACGCTGCATGTGGTTCTCGGCTCGGCGGAGTCAGTCTTGAGTTCACAGGCGAGCTTAACGACGAAGGCTTCAGCGTGACGGAGTGTCTTGGGGGAAGTATGGAGCTCAGCGAAGAACAATTGGGGCTCAGGTACCAGGTGCGTCGGACTACATTCGTATTAGATTGCTCTTCTTACCCTCAATCTCAACGAAGTCGTTCTGTGACCCTCGACTCAATTTCGAGCAATCACTTGGTAGGGCGAGCTAAATGTAGGCAAAGAATTAACAGTTGACACATTTGACAGACGTCGCCTTTCTTATATCGAATTACTTCAAAGAGGAAAGATTTGGTGACAAAGGAGAAAACGGTATTTATGCCGCCCTTGGAGGAAGAAACACAGTCTGATAGCAATACGATGGAAGTTGTAAGGTCCATCCCGCAAGATGTTGTACAATTGTATATACCCGTGATACAGCAACAATGCAGTAGGTGAAATTGATGGTTGTAGAAGGGTACTATGAGAGATCGAAGCCAGCGCCAGAGGATATTGCCTGTAGGAGCTTATCGTGAAGCTTTTTTTCGCTCGTATATCTTGGCAGCTGATTTATGATAAGTCAGTTGCGATATAAATGCCAGCATAAGGTCATCTTACCTTTAAGAGATTCACGCAGGTGCTAGAAGTTGGTAATCGGTGCTCGTCGCTCCCTGCATCGCGTATGGCAAAGAGAGGGTTTAGCTGCTTAAAGCCTCTGAAAGACGATGAGCGCTTTCAACAGCAAGTAACAAGCAAAAATAGCAGAGGCTATGAACTCACAGAAGTGGCGGTCGACTACAGCTTGTGACAAATCTCAAGAACAACCTTCGTTGCTCCTGATCGAAATCCTCCAAAACCTGCAGATGAAAGTTAAGATTAATAATAAGATTCGCAGCCCGTGAGGATACTGACCTTCCAGAAAGTCTGTATAGTGGGTTCATCATTATCATACAAGCCCCCATATTGGGTATGTGCCCTTAAGTCCTGCACATCTACAGGTGCGTTCACGCCACCTAGCAATATCTGAAGTTCCTGCTGATTGAACATTCTAAAAGGAGCTGTATCAACGGTCCAGGCAGAGTTAATTTGACGCCAACATACCGAAGCCATTTGGGGTCTATCATATCAGAAAGACCCTCGAAGAACGCCTCGCTCTGGAGCTTGATCTGCTTGCTCAGTCTGTAGTGAGAAGTAAGGTAGATATATTGCAGTCGGTTCTCCCGGGTGACCGGAATATTGCTGCCATCTGGTATGAGGTCTACAGCTTTGGCGACCCCAAACTCTGGCGACATCCCACGTCAGAAAGAACACAATCAGAGCGCACATGTTAGCAATGACCAACCTTCGATCGCAACGGTGAAGTTCAATGCAAGGTCTTCCACATCTCCGGTGTAGTTCTTGAGAAATATCAGACCCTGATATAAATCAGGATCGAGAGAAGCAAGGTCGTCCAGAAAACTTTGTTTATCTAGCCACTTTATCGATAATCAATAAAGTGACAGCTTGTTATCAATGATACGGCAATTACCTTGGCCAGGAAAAACCCTGCGAATGCGACCTCAACGAGGATGCCCTTATAGAGCGCCTTGCCCAGGATTCGTCCGATGAAGCGATACCAATTTAAATTGTGCGCTGCATCGGAAATGAACGTGAGTGTGAGTATCGAACAGATCTGCGGGCAACATACGTTCTGTAGCGTACGAGTGGGGATTAGGGTAAATCTCATTCCTCTTATTTGCCAGCCATAGTCCACGGTCCGTGTCAAACACTTCCTTGCACAAAGAAGTAAAAAACTCCTTGAACACGCCACCGCCATCAATTCCGGCCCTAGCGAATAACCACCCATCAGTATCTATACACTGGACAAATATTATGCTGTATACATACTCGGGCTCTCCAAACTGATCGATAAATGTTATGGCGATTGGGGCCCTTAGATCTGCTTCGGCCAGCCTGTCATATCCATCTTGCGCGATATGGCCTCTGCGAATGGATACATCGATCCGCCCACGTGTGTCCCTATTGCGGTTCCATTTATCGTTTTCTACAAAGCGCCGGAAAATCAAAACGCGAGTCTCGAATTGGATAGCAAACGGAATGTTGTTGAGGACCCCGAGCCGAGGGGAAAAGTGTGAGAGCTGTCTTTTCGTCAAGGCGCGCGGCGCAGAGGACTCGTCGAGCTGCTGCTCTTCGAATCTATGAAGACGTTGCTTAGCATGGGTTAGAGATGACAGATTGACAAGTGCGACGCACACTGCAGCATCTATGAAAGAATTCATGTCAATCTGAGAGCTTATATGCCAGTGGTTCTCTGGCATGAAAGGCTTGCGAGAGCTGAGAGACACCGAGTTGGTATGAATTATTGAAAGACTACGATGGTATGCGCGGACTTACTCCCGTGCATGTATAGCTTGTAGACATTTCGTTATCTTGTCTCGTAAACCTGCCCAACGGAGACTCAGACCCGGCACACCGCCCTCCTGAATCATCGTCTGGTCATCACGCCAGTAAAGAGCAAATGCGATGTTAAACAGAGCACGGGAAAAGGCCACCAATTCGTCCAAAGTCAACGACGTCCGGGAGTTGGAGAAAAATTCATCATCACCCATCGTCAAGAGAGATTGAGTATAAAGCTCGGTGAGCAGTAGAAGAGGTGGCCACGCTGACGCTAGCGAGGGGTCTTTATTATAATCAGTATGATTCACCGCAGAAGGCACGAAGACGAACCCATCAAGGATGTCATGTTTTCATCTTTCCCGAGTGGAGAGTTCCGTACATAGTCACGATAAATCTCACGCACAAGCCCACCCCCTCCATATAGCAGCAGCGTACTCAGTATCTTACCCTTCCGGGTAGGACAGATGATGCACAAGTTAACAAGCCATGATACAAGATCTGGAAGTGCGCCATGATCATGTTGAGCTGCCTTCAGCAAGGAATTCAAGTGCGAAGGACTCGGAAGGATCTGGAGGCGCTTCTGTGTCCGAGCATCTAGTGGGGGCAGCCTTGGCGTCGGAGCAAAAGATGTAACAACTGTAACTCGCGGCTGTTCTGATTCCGAATCGCCATCGTCGGCCCAAGACATTGCGGGGGCAAGAGCATCGGATACTGATGGGGGATCGAGCACGTGCACAGGGAGGATGCTCAGTGAAGCGGTCATGAGCTGGAGATATGTTTTCAAAGACGAAAGAGGTAGAACTGTATATCTTGGGGAGGTAAAAGCGTATAGGTTGGCTATAAGATGCACATGAGACTGCAGAGGGATTGTGGAAACAAGTTCAGCAATAGAAGTTGACAGGACTGATAATGAAGATAAAGGAAGTTTTGCGGAAAGGGCTGTGAGTGACGAGATTGGGATTCGATTTGGGAGAAGAGGGGTCGTAAGTATATGGATGACGAGAGACTGAAAACACTGCAGAAATGCGTCTGACGAGCGTTCTAATGTGTTGAGCGGGCGATATATGAGTTCCACAAAGAAAGGTAGGGTTGGGGCAGTCTTTGTCTCCGGCCCCTGTGAACAATATAAGAGATATAGAGAATATGGAACCAAGGAAACTCACAATGGTTTGTATTGAACGGGCAAGGTATTGATACAAGTCATGCCTTACAGCATATTCGGTGATGTTCACAGTGAGCTGATTACCGGAAACCCCCAATGCTTCAACAGCAGACGCCGGATTCGAGAGAGTACACAAGACTTGAAGGCATGAGACAGCGCGTTCAGATCTGGACCAGGTTAGCTCAGTCAAGAGATAGATAATATGTATCAGAACCTTGGACGATCAGAGACAGAGCGTAGAAGTAGGAAGAAAACTTGTCGCATCAATACAAGCCAGTGTTCTCTATCATGGCCATGGGCAAGGCTGAACAGCGAACCTAGATGAACGATAAGCTGGTGGAAGCATGGCGTCGTACAGAAGCTGCGCACCTTGAGCAAGGACCTCCGCAGCCCATCTATCGATAAAATAGGTGTCTTGTCCGATGAGGACGAGGCATCGGAGGCCAGTGAGTCCTGTGATATCCCCTGCGAACAGTTCACGAAGTTCCTGGCGAACCCTTCTGGAGTCGGTAATGCCACGCCACCAAGCCTGTATTGTAACTGCACTCTCTTGTCGTTTGCGGACAGTTTCCCTCTCGATTCTTCGAGCTCTGGCTTGATTTAAGATGGCTGCTTGAGAGGTGACTGAGCTCGATCCCCCAAGATTGATTTCACGACGTCTTTCGTCCCCAAAGAGTGGTAGCATATCTGTGCTTGGTTTTAAAACAAATTTGGGTGCCTGAAGATTTGCCTGCGGAAAGTAATCTCGCCCGATGTCAGAGTGGAGTAACCTGGTAGTACTACAATGAGTATGTCGTACTAGTATGTAAATGTGATGGTACGCGTGCTCGCTTGGTCAGCGAATAAACCCTAACCCTAGAATGGGTTTTGAATTCCTCAAAGTTCTACTTTTAGATATATTTATTGTAAAATACATTGTGGCCAGTCACTAGAGCTGTTTAACTACGACAACATTACGCGTACGACTATCAAATATTGTAACCTTTGCTATCATTAAGCTTGGCCCTTCATATATCTTGCCAGCTCGGCGGCATTATCATATAGGACCGAGTGAGATTGAGCATGCTTTCACCTTCGTCGCAATTATTCCCAATCAGCAGCTTTCAGCTAGGATTCACGACCCTTTCGCCCTCTCCTGCATCAATTGGCGAGCTCGATGTCATCCTAGTCCCGCTCGCAGATTCTCCTCTTGGGATACACAAAATCATGCGCTCGTTGACTCACGAGGTGGTATGCCCGCCGCCCTCTCTGCATCCATCCTCGGACGACCCTCAGCTTACTTGGGAGGCCAGATATCCCAAGGGTTCCTGTAGTCCAAAAACAGAAATCCCTGGTGGATTTGGATTTTATCTTCGTGGACCCAAAGAAATTGTATCTTTGTTGGATGAAGGCGCAAAAGAAGTAGTTTTTGGATATCGGATGATGTTTGAGAAGGGTTGGGAGTGGGTCAAAGGAGGGAAGTTGCCAGGAATGTGTGCGCATCCCCGATCAGGGCCTTGAATGAATTTTTGATGTACAATTGCAGATGGCGGTATCGGCGACACTGCTTATGGATGCACCGGCGGACGGCAGAACGACCGTTGCAAGTCCTTTAATGTTCGTCTCATGTGGAGGTGAGTAGCACCCACACCTTTCTCACCTATTTCCCGATGTCTTGTTAGGCGTGATGGTAAAGGAGAAATTTACGCCTATCTACCTATAAACGAGACGAATACAAATGCACTTCTTGCGGTTCCGCCCTACTCCAAAGCCAATCCTGATTATGGGTTTTCAGTCGGAATCGGCGCATGGACATTTGTGTCAGGTATCTGGACAACTATCGCTCAACGTGTTAAACTTAACGATGTAGGCAAAGCTGATGGTAAGGCGTAGTGATTGCTAGGGTAATACTGAATCTTGCATCCTAGGAGAACTCCAGCTCTGGATTAACGGCGAATGCGTGATCCACACAAAGGGTTTGATTTTCCGAGAGGACGAGGCATCCCATATCAAGGGGATGCATTTTCAGACGTTTTTTGGAGGTGCGCGAATACTTCCGTTGCTTGTTGTCTGGCAAATGCTATTCGTTGCAAATTGGTTTCTCATATCATTATCGTTCAGGACATGAGTCTGATTGGGCATCACCAAAAGATCAACGTGCTTGGTTTTCCGACGTCTCTGGAGCCATCATCCGGTAATAGTCACCATATGTTCTCTGAACGAGTTTCGAGTTGTTTTGTATTCGTTCATACTACGTGTATCTCTACGATACATCTCCAGTGAGGCATTTAGGCATATATCGACTCAGCCCCCTTTTGATTTTCTGTCGTTTGAAATGCCACATTACGCATGCAGTATTTATATGATGCTACTACCCGAATATGTACGAGGTGGGGGTTTGAGCGCACACGCGAGATCAATGGCCGCTGTAGTCCCGGCTATCCCAATTGAGTTGATTTCAAACTTGAAGTCTTGGCTCATGTTGGGTCTCTACCGGGCTGGCCGCTGTTCCCTAGCTCCGCACTTTCAAGCCTAATCTGTCACTCAAGAAACTACAAAGGGAGCCATTCGTCAAATGACTAATTAGTGCGCGTCGTGTCTACTACTCTCCCTCTCTCTGCGCGTATGGCAACTCCAACTCCAACCTTCCGCCTAACCACTCCGCCTCCTGGACGCACCTTTGCGAACCAGCATACCTTGCCGAAGCTCCCAGTTCCATCTCTCGATGACACTTGCAAACGCTACTTGACTGCTCTTCGAGGTCTCCAGGATGACAAGGAACATGCTGCCACTCAGCATGCTGTTCGAACTTTCTTAGATAGCGAAGGTCCCGCTCTACAGAGGAGATTGAATGAGTGGGCTCAAGAGAAAGCAAGGTGAGTTTCGTGCATCGCTAATCAAACTGCCTCTTCACCACGGCTTCCGGATCTTACCTCCCACCCTTTTGTTGTTCGCAGCTATATCGAGGACTTCTGGTGAGCTTCTCTTATTTTGCCTCGAGGTACTTCTTCTAATCATGGGTTTCTCATCCTTGTGGGTAGGTATGAAAGCTACCTCTCGCACAGCGATCCTGTAGTACTTGCTCTCAACCCTTTTTTCGTCCTCGAGTACGTTCATGTGATTTTCATTTGCCTTTAACACCCTTTAACTCACTACCGGCAGGAATGATCCTAGCCCGGATCGAGGCTCTCAGCTACCCCGCGCTACGGCTCTTATCATATCTTCATTAGGCTTTGTTCATGATCTCCGCCAAGGTCTACTTGAACCCGATGCCGTACGTGGTCATGCACTAGATATGGATCAATACAGTAGATTGTTCGGGAATGCTCGTATACCAACAGAGGTATGTCTCGCAGAATTATATTTGAACTCAAATTAAATCTATTCGTTTGGTTAGTGTGGCTGCAAGATGCTCGTGAATGATGCGGCTCGTCATATAGTAGTTTTGCGCAGGGGACAGTTCTGTTAGTCGGACACACATGCCCATGCATTCAGCCGCTAATATCTCACTAGATTGATTTGATACCCTTGATGAGGGTAACCGACCACTGTTAACCGAGCGTGAGGTTCTTCGCAACCTCCAAGCCATCTGCAAGGATGCTGACAAGACTCCAATAACTGAGGTAAGGACTTACCGAACAACATTTATCTACTTCCTCTAACTGTGGCTTATAAAGGTTGCTCGTACGGCTATTGGTGTTCTCACTACTGAGAATCGGAAGACTTGGTCTTCCCTTCGACGCGAACTCGCGCAGGACAAGACTAATGCAGCTTGCCTGCGCCTGATTAACGATGCCTTGTTCGTAGTCTGCTTGGATGATGCAGCTCCAGGTCGCGATGGCATCAGCACGCTCGTTCAAAATGGCGAAAAGGGAGAAGACCTCGCTGCTCTATGCAGTAATTTCCTCTGCGGAACTTATGACTTGCGGGAAGGTGTGCAGGTTGGCACGTGTACTAACAGATGATATGACAAAGTGAGTCAGCGTTCACGATACTTGTCGGTATTTGATCTAATTTGTTATTCAATTTAAGCTGCAAATCATCGTGTGTGCAGATGGTGCCGCCGGCATCAACTTTGAACATACCGGCGTTGACGGCCACACAGTTTTGAGGTACCTCCCAGTCGAACTGTTTTCTTACTATATGCTCATGTTACCATCAGGTTTGCCGCAGATGTCTTTACTGAAGGCCTAATGCTGCTTGCGCGTTCAATCAACCCATCCGCACCTACTCTATTCCACGCATCCCTTTCGCCTCACGCTGAATCCTACAGGCCTCCGAAGTCAATAGCCAACGGAAAATTGCCAATATCCTCTCAAATCTTCTCATATGATACCTCACCATCTAAACTTATGTGGACTCTAACCCCTTCAATTCGAGTTGGCATTCGGTATGCTGAGACACGCCTGAGTGACCTTATATGTCAGAATGATTGTCAGGCGCTCGAGTTCAAGGGTTATGGAAAGAATTTTATCACGAGTCATGGTTTCAGCCCCGATGCGTTTGTGCAGATGGCTTTCCAGGCGGCATACTTCGGACTTTATGGTCAGAATGTCCTGTTCACAGGTTCTGCAATCTTAATTCTGACGTCATAATAGGCAGAACGGAGTGTACTTATGAACCTGCGATGACGAAGGCCTTCCTTCACGGGAGGACTGAAGCGATCCGGACAGTGCAACCAGAGAGCGTCGACTTCACGAAAGTAAGCGCCTACATGATAATCGGACTCTTCTTCCTTACTTGTTTCCATTCGTTTATCTAGACATTTTCTCGGAGTGTTTGCTTAATGATAAGATCCGTAAATTGCGCAAGGCGTGTGAGCGACATGTACAACTTACGAAGGAGGGCAGCCAGGGCTTGGGCCAAGACCGGTGGGTTCTTTTGTTACCTGTACTTCTATTTCAGTATTGATGGCATCTTGTAGACACTTGTATACCTTATACTGCTTGCATCAGCGCCAGGTGACGGGGAACCTTGATCCCTCTCCTGATGACCCGATCCCGAACAGAAATATTCAGAAGAATGTCCTCCCATCAATATTCGCTGACCCGGGCTGGAATCTATTGAGTACGTCTATCTTGTCCACTTCAAACTGTGGAAATCCTGCATTGCGCCTGTTTGGATTTGGGCCCGTTGCGGCTGATGGGTATGGTATTGGGTATATCATTAAAGAGAACGGGATTAGCGTGTACGTCACAATTTTCATTATCAAACAGACGTGTCATCGACACTGACTAATGGTCCTATAGTGTCGCTTCATCAAAGCATCTACAGACGCGCCAATTTCTAAACACCCTTCGGGGATATCTGTTAGAAGTCCAGAGGATCTTAATTCAGCTCCACCGCTTCGCAAATGAACGCCCTGCACCATTTGTTGATCACGCTGGTATCCTCCGTGACTCTAAGACTGGTCGGCCAATCAACGGCCACGGTTACGGGTCAGACGAATCGGGGAGTGACTACGAGGACATAATCCAAGCAGCGTACTACTGGTACGTATGCGGCCCACCCCGGGCGTTGATAAAATAAACGACAACTCGAGTCAGTCTCCTATTGGCATATTTCCACTCTCTCGACCTTGATTACCACCCACTCTCTCTGATATACGTCGAAGCCACCATGTCCGCCGCCCACACTCTCCCTGATCTTCCATACGCCTATGATGGTCTCGAGCCTTTCATCTCGAGGCAGATCATGGAGCTTCACCACAAGAAGCACCACCAAACCTATGTGAACGCTCTCAATGCTGCCGAGGCTAGCTACGCAAAAAGCTCCACCCCCAAGGAGCGCATCGCCCTCCAGGCAGCACTCAAGTTCAACGGTGGTGGTAAGTCTTTATAGGCACCAAATGATCGCGTCATTGGTGTTGTTATCTTATTAATCGCTCGTCATCGATCGCTATCTCACGTTATTCATTACATGTACTTATGTCATTCTACCCATGATTTTGCAAGTCCATTAGAGTTAAGGCTGGGTTATGGTATATCTAAAACAGCCATATTGCGCAAATATGCACATGTCAGATTTGCGCAAAATTGACCCCTCATATTGCGCAAATATACAAATGTCAGATTTGTGCACAATTGACCCCTCATATTGTGCAAATATACAAATGTCAGATTTGCGTGACATGGACCCTTCATATTGCGCAAATATACAAATGTCAGATTTGCGTGAAATGGACCCCCCATATTGCGCAAATATGCACATGTCAGATTTGCGCAAAATTGACCCCTCATATTGCGCAAATATACAAATGTCAGATTTGCGCACAATTGACCCCTCATATTGTGCAAATATGCAAATGTCAGATTTGCGTGACATGGACCCTTCATATTGCGCAAATATACAAATGTCAGATTTGCGTGAAATGGACCCCCCATATTGCGCAAATATACAAATGTCAGATTTGCGTGAAATGGACCCCCCATATTGCGCAAATATACAAATGTCAGATTTGCGTGAAATGGACCCCCCATATTGCGCAAAAATACAAATGTCAGATTTGCGCACAATTGACCCCTCATATTGCGCAAATATACAAATGTCAGATTTGCGCACAATTGACCCCTCATATTGCGCAAATATACAAATGTCAGATTTGCGTGACATGGACCCTTCATATTGCGCAAATATGCAAATGTCAGATTTGCGTGAAATGGACCCCCCATATTGCGCAAATATGCACATGTCAGATTTGCGTGAAATGGACCCCCCATATTGCGCAAATATGCACATGTCAGATTTGCGTGACATGGACCCTTCATATTGCGCAAATATGCAAATGTCAGATTTGCGTGAAATGGACCCCCCATATTGCGCAAATATGCAAATGTCAGATTTGTGCAAACTTGACCCCTCATATTGCGCAAATATGCAAGTGTCAGATTTGCGCAAAATCGACCCCTCATATTGCGCAAATATGCAAATGTCAGATTTGCGTGAAATCAACCCCTATGTTGCACAAATATACAAATGTCAGACTTTTTGAAATCAACCTCTCATATTTTGCAATTTGGAATTAGAATGGAGTCACTGGAATCAGTTCAGACATGGTGTGATATATGAGTGTATTATTATGTAAGCTTGCTATTGTGATATGAGTCAAACTGGTATCCTACAGTGAGGTCTTGAGATTTGGTTAGAATTAAAACTTATATGGTCAAAACAGAAATAGGTTTCAAACTTTGGAAAAAATATCTTTTCCTGGGCTGGTACATCATTTAGAGGCATCTTCCAGGAATCATATGAACCAAGAATTAAGAAAAACGGCGGTTGGAATATGGAGATATGGTCGAAATACTGACTTTTTTGCCCCTCCACCAAACCGCAATATTGGCGACCTCTATACACCCTGGGACCATCTCCAATCGATTTGTACGACTGAAAAACAGTAGGAACACTATTTTCAGTATCGGCCTTGAGTCAGATTTGAGTGTGGTGCGATATAGGGGGTAGGGGGGGGGAGGAGGACATTCTATATCTCGACAACCTGATTTTTCCTGACATATTGGGCTTTACCATCGTGTTCAGGGACATTGAGAGCCCCCTGGAAAAATGCTTTTGGAGGGCATGCAAGTCATGGGAAGGCTAGAAAAATCGATCTTTGAGGGGGGTATGTGACAAATTCGCACATGTCACTTTGTATGGTCTCAAATCGCTCTGGTATTATTTTCAATCGATTTATATCATTGGAAAACAGTAGGGACACCCTTTTACATACCGGTATTTACATAATAGGAAGATATGTGAGTTTGGGGGGGGAGGAGGACCTTCTGTATCTCGACCACCTGATTTTTTCTGACAATTCGGGCTTGACCATCTTGTTCGCAGCTATCAAGAGCCCCCAGGAAAAATGGATTTGGAGTCATGGCAAGTCATGGGAAGGCCAGAAAAATCGATCTTTGAGGGGGGGTATGAGGTCAACTTACACATTACATTTCATATTGGCCAAAAACACTTTGAACACATCTTCAATCTATTTTTATGATCCAAAAACACTATTCAAATCCTTTTTACATCAGTATATACATGAAATCATGCTTCATGGTGGAGTAGGTAGGGGGAGGGGGTAGCATGACTCTGAAACATGATTTTTTCGGACAAAATAAGCATTGCCATCGCATCCAGGGTGGTTAATAACCTTAGAATCAAGTTTCATTTGAAGCCAGGCAAGTCATTCTAAGCACATTTTGTTAAATAGGATGGGGTTAGCCCAAGGTTATGCCTAACTCACATGTGCAATTTCACACATTTCTGGCATTTCTCAAAATGTGCAAACCAAGTGGTATCCATTTTACACATTTTGAGATAGGTCAAAAATGTGTGAAACAAAGGGTGTCCATTTTGCACATTTTGAGAAATGTCAAAAATGTGCGAAACAAAGGGTGTCCATTTTGCACATTTTGAGAAATGTCAAAAATGTGCAAAACAAGGGGTGGTCCATTTGCACATTTCTGGCATTTCTCAAAATGTGCGAAACAAAGGGTGTCCATTTTGCACATTTTGAGAAATGTCAAAAATGTGCAAAACAAGGGGTGGTCCATTTTGCACATTTTGAGAAATGTCAAAAATGTGCGAAACAAAGGGTGTCACTTTTGCACATTTTGAGAAATGTCAAAAATGTGCAAAACAAGGGGTGGTCCATTTGCACATTTCTGGCATTTCTCAAAATGTGCGAAACAAAGGGTGTCCATTTTGCACATTTTGAGAAATGTCAAAAATGTGCAAAACAAGGGGTGGTCCATTTGCACATTTCTGGCATTTCTCAAAATGTGCGAAACAAAGGGTGTCCATTTTGCACATTTTGAGAAATGTCAAAATGTGCAAAACAAGGGGTGGTCCATTTTGCACATTTTGAGAAATGTCAAAAATGTGCGAAACAAAGGGTGTCCATTTTGCACATTTTGAGAAATGTCAAAAATGTGCAAAACAAGGGGTGGTCCATTTGCACATTTCTGGCATTTCTCAAAATGTGCGAAACAAAGGGTGGTCATTTTACACATTTTGAGAAATGTCAAAAATGTGCGAAACAAAGGGTGTCCATTTTGCACATTTTGAGAAATGTCAAAAATGTGCGAAACAAGGGGTGGTCCATTTTGCACATTTTGAGAAATGTCAAAAATGTGCGAAACAAAGGGTGTCACTTTTGCACATTTTGAGAAATGTCAAAAATGTGCAAAACAAGGGGTGGTCCATTTTGCACATTTTGAGAAATGTCAAAAATGTGCGAAACAAAAGGGGTCCATTTTGCACATTTTGAGAAATGTCAAAAAGTGCAAAACAAGGGGTGGTCCATTTTGCACATTTTGAGAAATGTCAAAAATGTGCAAAACAAGGGGTGGTCCATTTGCACATTTCTGGCATTTCTCAAAATGTGCGAAACAAAGGGTGGTCATTTTACACATTTTGAGAAATGTCAAAAATGTGCGAAACAAAGGGTGTCCATTTTGCACATTTTGAGAAATGTCAAAAATGTGCGAAACAAGGGGTGGTCCATTTTGCACATTTTGAGAAATGTCAAAAATGTGCGAAACAAAGGGTGTCACTTATATGGTCAAAACAGAAATAGGTTTCAAACTTTGGAAAAAATATCTTTTCCTGGGCTGGTACATCATTTAGAGGCATCTTCCAGGAATCATATGAACCAAGAATTAAGAAAAACGGCGGTTGGAATATGGAGATATGGTCGAAATACTGACTTTTTTGCCCCTCCACCAAACCGCAATATTGGCGACCTCTATACACCCTGGGACCATCTCCAATCGATTTGTATGACTGAAAAACAG